TCTCCTTTGCTCTTTCTCCCCTACGCTCTGTAGTTTGTCTGCAGGATGCAGGTTTTGCACTGAAGAGTGTAGCGGAGTTCTTACTGTGCCTTTCCGGTCCTAGCACAATCAAAGTTTTGTGTTTGGAGCTGTCCTTGACATTCTTTCGTCCCACAATGGGGTGGACACAGTGTGCTGGAAACCATGACATCATTATCATTGACACAGACTTAAATAAATCACCTGCATCTTGGCCTCATTCTGCTTATTCAAGGATTCCTCATCGTACAGAAGAAAGTATTCTTTATTTTTACAAACCTTTAGTCCAAGGGTGACTGGAAAACGCAAACTTTTACAAGTGTTTGAAAAATAAATATACTGTGTGGTTTTAGACACAGTAATGCTGAGTCAGAGGTGTCTTGAAAAAGGTTAGACATGAGGAAGGAAGCCAGCAAGGCTTGCCAATAATTCAGAGGAGGTATTCCTAAAGTATGTATCATTATGTGCTTTTGAATATGGATTTACATAGAACCCAACACCTGAAAAGCACCTGTGACTCATCTTAATAGAAGAGCTTAATAGTCAAGAAAGGAAAAGGCTGGGCTCAGCAAGTTGATGTAAAATGCATTCCAGGTAAAAGTGGCACCATTGCCTTTGACCAGTTGTGCCACATCTGGTAAATTATGGTGAGAACTAAACAACACACCTTGCACAAAGGGCCTACTGTGCATCTGTGCAACTGACATTTACAAATTTGGGAAGCAGCCAACTACTATAACTTCTCTTTACCTTTTCATAAGAAAATGATAATGAGGAAGGAAGTGCAGCAGAAATCTTGAACATTACCACCATTATGCAAAAAAGCAAAAATAAAAAAAAAAATAAAGCAGTTAACTGTTTTCCCCTCTGTGGCTCGATGTGCTCTGAGATGGAAAGCTGATGATTCTCGTGACTCTTGGCTACCAGAAATCACATGAGATGAGTGAGGACAAAAGGCACAGAAGCTGCATTTCTGCCTCATACTGAACTCAGAAACACCTATTTAGTTTCTTTCAGGGACCAATAAAAATACCAAAAGGAGTTTCCCGAACCAACCATCCAATATTGCTGTGTATTGAACTTCTAAGTGTTTCTTTGCAAAATGTCCCTGTGAAAATGTTCCTGGAGTAAAGGAGATGCCTAGGGTCAGGAATTAATTTGAAATGGGTGCACAGCCTAAATAAATATATTAAAATGATGTGACTGTTTTGAAGAATGGCCTTAAATTAGCATCCATGTGTGTTTGTGCATCTGACAGGAACATGCTCTCTCAGCTTTGATTCCTCGTCCAGATACAGGAACTTTCGCTGTAAGGCTTTCCAGCACCTGGTTTTCCACCACAGTAGTGTAGTATGTGAGAAGCAGAAAATGATCAGGATACATTTGAGAGTTCTCCTTACAGTTCTTCGTGTTATCATGAAATGATTACAGCACAGAACTCCTCATCTTGGATCATGCCCTGTTCTCATTAGTATTGTCACTGTGAAACTACAGTTTTTAAAAGTCCATGTTATGTTTGTTTATTTGAAAGGTTTTTAACTGGCATCTTGCCTTCCTCTGCCTTCCCACATACTCTGCAATATAGTAGACAGAGAAAATTCATATTTTTTGAAAATTCCTCCTTTATTCGAGAATATTACCATTTTCAAAAATGGCCTTTAATCATTCACGAATCTCACCTTCAATGTCACATATTTTCATCTTAATTAAAACGTTGAACTACTGTTTTCTTTATACTTTTCATCAGGAAATGAGTTTGATTACCCGTGGAAGCATAAATGTTTAAAACAAAAAGCCGTTTATAAGAGATGGGAGAGAGGAATAAGGAAAATAGACTTTAGAATTTTATGTAAAGCAGTGAATGGATATTTTTAATACATCAGAGATGTTAGCTTGTAAAGCTAGGCATTCCAAGTTTTGATATGCACAATTTTGGATTTTTGAAAAAGCATGCTTGCTTAGACTAACACCATCATAGCTACATCAAGGGGAATGAAAGTAAGAAAAGAAAATGAAAAACTCTGACTTGCCACCAAGCACCCAGAGTTAGCAGCTACTGTTTCTCTTCGTAAGTACAAATACTTCGTCACTTTTGACTAAACTCTTATTGAAAAAATAACATCTCCCCCCGTTTGTCACTAGAACTGCCACCAGAAGAAAAGCCCTTCGTTGGCTTCAAATAAGCACCTCTGTTTTTCACAGCTTGCAGTAATGCTTAAAGTAAATAAGTTCTTGTGCAGCCAGCACCCTTGGATTCATTCAGTTGCCTGAACAAAGCTATTGTTTAGAGGTTTACAACAAGTCTTTTCTGTTTCCCTTGAAAGACTCCTCCTTGTTCCTATGTTCGGCATGCTTAGTATAGTAAGCTTTTCTATAATTTTCAAATGCTAAAGATAATTTTCCCCCACAGAAGAAATGAAGGATGATTATGATGTTATGGGGCCAGAAGCCACGATCCAGACCACAATTAACAATGGTACAGGTAAGTCACATTTACATAGCAACATCATGTGTGTTCCATGTCATGGTTTCCTGAATCTGATAAAACACAGACCCAACCATATGCACCTCCACGGTTTACAAAAAGTTAGACTTCACAGATCTGGTTTTGTTTCAAATTTGAATTTACCACATCTTAGACTTTATTAAGTAAATTTGTCTGCCATTCTTGTACCCTAATTTACCTCTAAAGCTCAAAAATATTGAGTTGTGTGAATGGATCCTTTCACAGCATGAATTATATGAATCTCTAGTTGTAATTTTTACTTTAAAATCATCTTAGATTATAATACAATATTCTTGTATTAGCTACCACCTAATATCTGTCATTGAGAATTCAAATGATATGATGTACTATAAGATTACGAAGTATTTTCCCAAAGCCAAATTTCTATGAACATTCCTTGTAAAAGTTAATCATTTAATTTCTCTCAAATTCTCTCTTCACTTTTAAATCTCTGTATGTGCTAGAGATACTGAACAATATTTTTCAGACAGACATTTAAACAAGAATAGACAGTTTCACTTCTTTTTAATAAAACTGATGAATAACCAGTAGAAGACGACAGTAAGTGGTGTTTTATTTGGCTCTGCCCCTGCAGGAGAAGAGAGATTAAGGGCAACTGTGACCATGCTCTCCCCCAAACACTGAAAGACATCTTTTCCCACAGCACAAAGTGACACAGATTCACTATGTGTATGTCTCTTTCTGTATGATACTATATTCATGTTTCAAACAATCTTCTATACCACCATTACAAATATTAGCACAGTCTCCAATACAAAACCATCTCCTAAAACGAAACAACAAAAGTCACATAACTGTTTTTCTTCAACTTTCCAATTTAAAAAAAAAGTGCAGTTTTATGTGGCTTCAGAAGTGTAAATAATTAAGATGATGTTTACATTTCCCTTAATTTGATGTACATCCTAACATACTTCTCGTGCTGTCTGCACATACTCTTATTAATGATGTAAGAGGCACTAGTTCCCTATCTTAAGAGGCACTAGTTCGCAAAGTAAGAGAAATAACTTTTAAAAACTCTTGTTTTTACTGATTTGAATAATGTCAAATTGAATATGAAGCTGAAAGTGTACAACCATGTGGTTCTAGAAAAAAAATCATAGAATCATGCACTGATAATTCTAATTTCTATATGTAGCTTCAGCAATACCTAGATTACAACCTTGGGCAAATCAGTTATTTTCTTTGGAACTCAGTTTCCGTATCTGTAAAGTACGTATATCAAACTAGTTGATGGCTCAGAATACTTACAGTTGTAATATTATATGTTGCTGGAATACTGTTGCCTTATAAAAAATAGAAACAAAACCAAATAATTTCATATAAAATATAATAGCAATATACCATGAATTAAGAACTCTCCAAAAAAAAAATTCCAGTTTGTAAGTTCCAAAATGGCCTCAGGTTCCTTTAAAAAAAATGGTAAATGTCAGCTTCCAGCATTAATAAAAGCTGATTTCATTTCCTTTGTGAGCATTGGAAGTGCAACAAGGTAACAATTTAATAGCCATTGTAAATACCTGACTCCAAAGTGAGGTTAACAAAAATTGTTCCAATCCAGGAGGTTTACAAATCAATCTTGAACACCCTTTCAACAGACTTTGAGATCCCTTTTCTCCTAATACTCACTATTCCTTTGGCTTCATATGTATTCAGTCAATAAGTAAATCAATACATGTTCATTGAGTGTTTTCAATAAAGTCCCTGTTGTATGCATGTGTGGGAGAAGATGGGCCAGGAAGACTAAGCCATGGTTATTATTTAATTTAGGAGATAAGCCTAATTCACATAAAAAAAATAATGAACAGTAGGTGAAAATATGTGATAAATATGCAACAAATGGTAAGAGCGGTGATTATTTGAATTACAGAAATAGAAGAGATTCTGCAAAGTGGGAATTTGTATAGGTTTTATGAAGGAAGTTGAATTGGAACGAAGTACATTTTCAGTAGTCGGGAAGGCACAGGGAAGGAAGGAGAAGTGGAATTATCTAAGCCAAAGAGAAAAAAAAATAGTAAGTAGTCAGCGGATAGTGGGTAAAAAGATTTGGCTGAATTAAAGGGAATTTATGGGAAATAAAGTTGGATGTATAAACTGAAGGCAGTATCAGAATATAATATATTGAAGGATATAAAGAAAGCATCAGAAGAAAGAAGGTGGGTTATGTTCTATCGCCATGATGTCTCTAGGGAAACCAGTCTCCAGACCAATAAACCGTTGTCATGCGGCCATAAGTGCTGAAAGGGAGGAAGGGAGAGAGAGAGAGAGAGGGAGGGAGGGAGGGAGGGAGGGAGGGAGGGAGGGAGGGAGGGAGAGAGAGAGAGAGAGAGAGAGAGAGAGAGAGAGAGAGAGAGAGATTGTCGTGGGTGGTGAAATGGGGAAATTTTCAACAAGACTTCTTAATAACTGTATGGCACAGGTAAAGTAGCCCCAAGATGACGTGTGTGTGTGTGTGTGTGTGTGTGTGTGTGTGTGTGTGTGTGTGTTTGGAGCATAGTGATACTTGCTACTTCTGGATCTATAGGGTTGTGAACCTATAGTTCAGATAGTATTTTCATATAAAAGTTCTACATGCATGCAAGTGTGTATGGTGCGTGTGCGTGTGCATGTGCGTGCGTGCGTGCGTGCGTGCGTGCGTGCGTGCGTGTGTGTGTGTTATGTGTGTGTGTATGGGGTGAGGGAGAGTGGAGAGTGTTTCTTCTCATTTTTAATTGAAACCCAAGGGCTGGAGGAGACCTGAGAGCCCTGTAAGTATATTCAGATAGTATTCAGCATGATAGAACTAATGAAGAGCGTGTCTACTGAAGGAAGTAGAGAATTGAAAATGGGCCTCTTGGTAGGGAAAAAGAAAAATAAAATTCACTGGAAGAAAAAAAGATTATAGGAAGAGAAAAAAATTCCTGGAGCAAAGAAAGGTTTAATAAAGGTGAAAATGGTCAACTCAATTAAAAGCTTCAAATAACTGAAATGCTGAGCAAGCACATTGGACTTGGTGATTAGAAATTTACTGGTACTTCTCAGTTTATGACTTGGCCCTCTCAGAGAATAAATGAGGTTTTTTTTCTTTTCTTCCCAGGCATAAGTTTAGCATGTTTTAACACTGGCATATTTTTTGAGTATTAATTGAAATGAAATTGAGATAATGAACTTTTTCTGTTGGGTTTTTTTCTTCCTTTTCTTTTTCTTTCTTTTTCTCTTCCTTCCTCCCTTCCTTCCTTCCTTTCTTCTTTCCTTCCTTCCTTCCTTTCTTTCTTCCTTCCTTCCTTCCTTTCTTCTTTCCTTCCTTCCTTCCTTTCTTCCTTCCTTCCTTCCTTTCTCTCTTTCTTTCTTTCTTTCTTTCTTTCTTTCTTTCTTTCTTTCTTTCTTTCTTTCTTTCTTTTTTTCTCTTGGAGTCAGGGTTTCTAGGCCAAGCTGGCCTCAAAGTCACAAGGATGGTCTTGAACTTCTGATTCTCCTAAGTTTACTACCCAAATGCTGAGGTGACAGGCATGCATCACCATGCCTGGATTTCCTCTTCCTCCTCCTTCTTTTATGTCATTCTGGGTTTGAACTCTGGGTACCATGCATGCTAGGCCAACACTCTACCAACTGAAATATACCCCCAGCCCTTGAAATTTCTCCTTAATACACCATCTCCTCTGTGGAGTCCTGGTCCACAGAGAGGTTCCAGGACAGTCAGAGCTACACAGAGAAACCCTCTCAAAAAAAAAAAAAAAAAAAAAAAAGAAGAAGAAGAAATGAAATGAAATGAGGCTATTTTTTCCTTTCACATTTACTCCTCATTAACTTCTTAGAAAACAAAAATACATTTTTAAAAATTGTGTGTGTGATATACATGTACTCATTAGAATGAATGTGCGCATATAGGTGGATGTGCACACATGTGCATGTTCATATTCAGTCAAAGATCTATATTGGTGTGATTGGTCTCCACTTTAATTTTTGGACAATGTCTCTAACTGGACCTGAAGCTCATTAATCTAGCTAGACTGTCTGGACAGTGGGCTTCCGATATCTGCTAGTCTCCACCTCCCATCAACCCCCAGCCATATGCTTTTAGCACATAAAGCACATGTTGCCACATCTGACTTTTTACTAGAGAGCCAAAACTGAGCCATCTCTGTAGGCTCTCCCAGAAATGATACATAACAAATGACTGATCCATCACGAATATGGAAGCCACAGGTCAGATCAACTTTGAATGTTATTCCTCAAGAACAGTCCACCTTTTTTTTTTATTGAGATGGTCTCTCAGTTGGCCTGGAACTACTGATTAGGCTAGACTTAGCTGGCTGACCATCAGGTTCCAGGGATCCACTTGTTTCCACCTCTTCCAAACTGTAATTATGAGTGCATGCTACCATACTCAACATTTGGTGAGGGACAGGGGTTAAAACAGGGTCTTACTATGTAGATTTGGCTGGCCTGGAGCTCACTCTGTAGACCAGGCTGGCCTTCAACTCATAGAGATCCACGTGCCTCAGCCTCACCAGTGCTGGGATCAAAGATGTGCCACCAGGCCTGGCCATAGCCAGCATTTTTACATGGGTCCTGGGGATCAAACCCAGGTCCTTCTGCTTACACAATAAACACTTTACTAATAAAACCATCTCCCCAGCCACTGACCAGACAATTCTGAAAGCTTCTGACATCCTGGATCACCCCAAAAGTCATACAACTCCTTCCATTATTCTGCTGTAGCATTTGAAATCCAAGTATGAGAGAAACTTAGGAAGGTTGTTAGTAACTACCTGCATTTTTCTAAATTAATTAAAGAATAGAAAGATTTAATAGCACTTATATATAATGATGACAAAGGTGTCAACTGTTTTTTAATTTATTTCATAACTGACTGCTATCATGATTCACTTTTTCCTTCAATCTGAATAACCATCAGCAAACACTCTCACTTGTTATTCATCTTAAGCAGAATTCAAACTGAGACTTGAGGGGAGATA